TTCTGTGGGCACTGTGTATTTTTGACACGTTTCAAACCTCTGTCTGGCAACTGTACGTCACAGTATAGACCAGATCGAGCCGGTCATCCGTTTTTGGCTGTGCGAATGATCAGATGTTTTGACCATCGATATATCATTCGTTTATTCTGTTCTCAAGTATCACTTTTTTATTCTGTTCTTAAGTATGGTCTCACTAAATGGCGAATGCGTGCACTATTAGTCCGTACATGTCTTACAACTAGTTATAGTGAACCAAAGTCACCTAAATCGGCATACACGATTACTGTACATAGAGTTAGAAGGGCAATTCATTTCTGTTCCATGGGCGGTGGTATTACGCAGACTTGCTACACGAGCTAGCTTCATCTACATCTACAACTTTTAATGTATTGACGTATATCACCTACATCTACAAATGTTAGTGTATTGACGTATAACCTGCATCTACAAATGTTAGTGTATTGACCTATAACCTACATCTACAAATGTTAGTGTATTGACGTATAACCTACATCTACAAATGTTAGTGTATTGACCTATAACCTACATCTACAAATGTTAGTGTATTGATGTATAACCTACATCTACAAATGTTAGTGTATTGACGTATAACCTACATCTACAAATGTTAGTGTATTGACGTATACCACATGGCTTGTGTTTGGATCTGTGTTCGCGCACCCAGGAAAATGCAGCAGCATGTCCAGAATACTCTCATTCCAAACAAAACAGAAGAAAAAAAGTTCATGTATTGAGCATACGAGATCACTCTCATAGCCTACAGAATGTTACATATTATACTGGATTGTGATAGTTTCTCCTGTAGTAGTGTAAAAACGAGTGTTGTTGTTCTAAACTCAGGCTCTCCTTTTCCGGGCAGATGTCCTTCATGCAATTGCATTGCACGCAGGCAATTGGCACTCGCACATGAATGTGTTCCTGATAAGCGCTCACGTGTGCTTTTGGGTTGGTTTGGGTTGGTTTGGGTTGGTTTGGTTTGTTTCGTATCCACAGGAGATATTCACCACTATATTCGCCTTCATGGTGGGCAAATTCAAGAACGTCTATCAACATCTGGACTTCTTCGAGAAAGATATACAAACAAGGTACGTTGTCTTACAAGGTACGTTGTTTTACAAGGTACGTTGTCTTACAAGGTACGTTGTTTTACAAGGTACGTTGTCTTGCATGACCCAGCATAGTAACTCTCTATTTTCATATCGTCATACGCCGCCTGGTGATTCTATATTTTCATATCGTATTACATCAGGGGCCAGTTCAGACGTGGAGTTTGCGTGTGTTCTGAGCTGTGCATGATAGTTCTATTTATACGGTTGCTTTATACCGCTCCATCCACTGGTCTGTACACACATACACCCATGTCATTTGTCATGGAGCGGTTTGCGCAGAGTATGAGCAAGCTGCTTAACTATTTTACTGTCGCATCATGACAGGCTGTTAGCGGATGTAAAGTACTTTACGGATCAACTGAGCCAATTGGATAGAGTGAAAGGGCCGAGTCACGAGCTGGAGAAGTATGTGGAGAGCAGAGTGTACGATGCCAATCGGGTCGCTTCGTAGCAAGGATATGGGTATCATAATAAAACAATGAAGGCTGCTTGCGTACAAGGATCCATTGTTGTGTAGTAACAATACCACACAGCACGTTGCAGATCTATAGCGTAGACTTGTGATGCGAGACTTTGTAAGTGAGGGGTATGTATGTATATGTCCCCTTTGTCAGATATATTTCTTAATGATTGGGGTTCACTGAAAACACACACTGCAGAACTATAGCGTAGACTTGTGATGCGAGACTTCGTAAGTGAGCGGGTATGTATGTATATGACCCCTTTGTCAGATATATTTCTTAATGATTGGGGTTCACTGAAAACGCACTCTGCAGAACTATAGCGTAGACTTGTGATGCGAGACTTCGTAAGTGAGGGGTATGTATGTATTTGACCTCTTTGTCAGATATATTTCTTAGTGATTGGGTTTCACTTAAAAGGCACACGGCGGTTGCAATAAGCCGTGCAGCATAGAACAGTGCCTGGGGTGAATCACGCGATGTTGTTTGGGACAACAACTTCTTCAGCAGCTGACTCTGGGTTTAGGGTTTTTAAAAACCCTAAATTCTAAACCCTAAACCCTACAACTGAAAGCTCGCACAAGCACAGGTCGTTTGGAGCGAGAGTCTTCACCCATCGACAAACACCTTTAGAGACGATACGAGCGGACATAGAACAAACAATATATATCAGACAATGTATGAGAGCGCTATCAGATGTTATTTGGCGTACGACATTTGGAGACCTGAAGTTCTTCAATTCATATTGCCATGGGCTGCTGATTTGTACATTTTCGATTATTGGGGCTGCTGTTTTGTACATTTCCGATTATTGGGGCTGCTGTTTTGTACATTTCTGATTATTGTAGTTGCCTCACTAGTTAGTGAGTATAAGAGTTGTCATAAAGCTTCCGTCTCAACATTCGATTCGAATTGTAAAAATTCAACTGACAAGACAAGGCACTTCATATACTGCAGATATTACCGTAATTACTTTAAAACACAAGAGAACGAAACAATTTATTTGAATGTTCAAATTTCTACAGTCCTTGCCAGCACTTCTACAATCACTTGAACCACTATTAACGTATTCAGGAGGAGAGGAGAGAAATTGTGGACATCTTGTTGGAAAGGATTAGAAATACATCTGGCGCATTAAATTGTGAATGGCCTAGTCTTTATTGTGTTGGTACAGATGTGACATACTGATTTGTTTATCCTGCTGTCTGGTGGTGTACTAAGCTATTCCTTTCCTACCACTACATATCAACCGAGTACTTCCCTTGTAGTGAGTAAATTCATGGACACTTTCCCCCGTGGTGTATATGCACGATCAGCACGAAGGCAGACTCACAGTGTTAGGCGGACCATTTTCGAAGCCACCTTCAGCCCAATCTCCTCAGCTCTGCAAGGTTCCATAGGCGCTCTTATTGACGCCTGTTATCCTACCACTGTGTCAATGTGTTGACTTATACAACTGTCCACCCAGCCATTGTGTTGGAACTCGTTGAGTCCGACATATACGCTCTGTACTTGATGCCAGGTGTCAATGTCTTGACTTATACAACTGTCCACCCAGCCATTGTGTTGTGACTCGTTGAGTCCGATATATACACTCTATATTTGATGTCAGGTGTCAATATCTTGACTTATACAACTGTCCACCCAGCCATTGTGTTAGAACTCGTTGAGTCCGATATATACGCTCTGTACTTGATGTTCTGTACTTGACGTCAGTCTCATTGAACTGATTCTGTACAAAACGTCAACTAGCGGACCTGAGTCCAACAATATAGGGATGTCGGAGAGCGTATTCCTAATATACGCACGGTCAGTCCCTCCCCACTACTGATAGAGACATGATTTAAAACCAGACAGCGATACGACCTGGAATCTCACAGGGCTCACTAGAACTCATCAAACGTTTCCGCATCGATTAATATCAAAGTAGCTGTGCTTATACTATAGACCCAGTACGCTTGGCGGTGAATCTCGGCCATGTTGAGCATGTCCCCGATGTTGCGCATTTGAAGCGTAGTCTCAGTTGTGGATGAATCCAGGCGGAACAAACGCTCAGGAGCGCTTGTCGCGGATACTAGCAAGCAAGGTTTCAACGCCATCATCAATGATATCATCATCACCTGAGGAAATCTCCTCCCAGACTCGATCAGCACGGCAACATCTTCGGCTTCGGTCGCCGTGCCATAGTCCCTTGTGGAAGAGTGTGTGTTTAAGTTAGGGCCGGTTGATACGAAATGTTAAACATACATGCAAGCACTCTCTCTCACGCACGCATCTCTGCTGAATATAGCTCAGCTATATTTCATTTGGTCGGTCGCTAGATATTCCCCTACCAATAATATGACTTTCGCCCGTAACACTGCTGCAATGACGAGATGGGGATCACAGCACGCAGGTGACGATTCACTGAGGAACGTTGGACCCAGCACAAGTCTCAAGCATCGAACTTTTCTACTGACAGCTAAATATCGGGCACATGCCACATATACACCACCACGTCTTGTATAGTGCAACAGAGTACATACACTGCCCAAAAGAAGCCTGCTTAGGTTGGGCAGCAGAGCAAGCCGCGATCCTGAAGTACAGTACACCTAGTATTCATCTCATACAATGAAGCACACTATGATACAGACATGTATGTTTGTGTTTATACAACATGTGATCCGTGTGTGATTATCACATACTCCATCCATCGAAATTCACAAACAAGAAATATATTGTTGCACTTTTACAAGGATAACTTCCATGCCACCAATGAACAAGTCAGGACGTTTTACTTCCGTATATGGCTTCCACAAACGGTACACAAACACAGACACAGGCAAAGATACAGACTCAGACCAACACACACACATATGTACACATATATACATATACATATACATATACATATACATATACATATATATATATATATATATATATATATATATATATATATATATATATTATTATATAATATATATATATATATATAGAATACATACATACATACATACACATACACATACACATACACACACACACATATATATATATATATACAGACAGAGACACAGGTACACTCACACACACATATATTGATAATATATATATATATATATATATATATATATACATATATATATACATATATATATATATACATATATATATATTTATATATATAGATATATGTACACGTATATGTATATATATACCTAGTACTGAACTTTTCCAGCTTGGCGTCTCGATTGATTCGTTCATCCTGCATAGCAGTTGTGCGTACGAAGTCCCTCTCACTCAGCAGCATGAACTCCTGCCAACCCGACCGCAACACACGCCCAGTCTTATTGCACACCATCACCACTTCGCGCTGTGCACAGTAAGGTGTGAAGGGTTAGGGTTTATATGTATAGTTACATCTTAGACTATATATCAGTATGGGATCGAGTACAGTTACGCCCTAAACATGTTTAGTAATGTGTGGAGGGTTAGAGTTTATATGTATGGTTGTATATATGAGCGCGTACTTCTGAGAGTATACACCAGTATGTGATCGAGTACACTTACGCTTTAAATTTAGTTGTTAACACGGTAACGCTGGCAATCCGCATGCATCATACATGTAGTTAGGAAATGAAAAAAGGAGTGGCAAGAAAACTTACGTTTATTGTTCCAGTACTCACTTGCGGAATGCTGTGCTCCACGACGACGGTCATTTTTTCCCTGTACAGGTACATCAGAACAGTTCACGTAAACGGAAGGCGCAATACGCAATCATGCGGAGTGGATTGACAGAACGCACCCAAAGACGACCGTTACACGTCAAATCGCACACATAGAACACACCAACACAATGCATAGACACCCACACAATCGTTGTATTGCAATTCATTCAGGCCAAGCCAAGGCACTCAACCACTAGTGGGGTACAGCAACCATGAACAGGTCACCTCTCTTCTGACACGCGTTCGTTGTTTTCTTACAGTCACAGATCCAGACGACACCAAAGATACAGAGGGTTGTGGATCATATCACACACTCAAACATGTCACTCACCCTGGTGCGATAGTTTTATCGGTTAGAGAATCTTTGTAGTACTCATCCCATGTTTTCGGATCCGGTACATCTCCGACCTGCACATGGAAGTGACAAGTGGATTAGGTGACAGAAGCACGGCATAGGAGACAATAACACGTAGAAAAAGGAGGGCTGCGATATACCGTTACGCACAGCATATAACTCGATGTGCGGATAACCGTCTTCAAATGCAAAAGATGCGTGTAAATATACTTTTATTTCAATACACTTTTAGGTACATTTTGAACATCGGCATATCTCGTTTTCCATATGAACATTCCAGTTTCTGTGACGGAACAACGTATATAGGTATATGGTATATGGTATATGGTATATATATATATATATATACATATACATATACATAA